TATTCCCAGTTAAATGATAACTACAAGATTTTGCTTGTTCATGAATATTTGAAAATGGCATATTTTAGCACTAAATCTTTGATGTTTTAACATGTGTCCAATTCAATAAACTCTTTCAAATTTTCTTCATTCAAAGTAGTTAGTTTTCCAGAATGAAGCTTTTGGGATATATCACAATTGTCATTTTTAAGCCTTTTATACTACAGCTTATATATACGAGTCTCTGCTGTATCTGTATATATTGCTTTTCAAATTATAATCTGCCCTGGGGTTAAACTCTGAAATACACTATAAATGAGACACTGTTGGATAGAAGAGTTGATAAACTAATTATAATCACAGTTTCCTAACAATCAACATCAGTTCTGTGGTGGTAGGTTGACTCAATCTTTTATTGCACAATTTATGATATCATCCAAAATAATACATGCAATATTGTTTACAGCCATCATCACTCAGCAACAATCATTAATTTGTGAGAATTAGTAAATTAAGGTAAATCCAATATCAAAACTTGTTAACAAATATTAAAAACATGTAAGAAAAGCTTCCTTTGAACTAAAATCTTCTAATTCAGATTTCAAAGCATTCAGCTGACAAGATCCTGATAAGTTCATATAATTTGAAAGGAAGCACTTTTATTAGATTTATTGACCAGTTTGAATGCATTATTTCAAGTGTAATGAAACAGCTTATCTGATCCTACTAAACCTTAGGTATAGAACAATGTCCACTAGTTTTATCAGAGTCAAGTCCATCGTTGAATTCTCATATGCTGTTAGACACACACCCATCCAGTCAAAGAGAACCAACAGTTCACTTTACAACCTACCCACTTACAATCATCGAATTCAAAATGACTTCTGTTTTTCCAACAACTCACAGAATTTTTTTTAAATAAGAAATATCCATTTTACATCACAGTCTTCAAAGATGAAGATGTTTGTATCATTATTAAAAAAAAAACAATTATTGCAGTTTTATTTGAAATCACAAATTCTTGTTTTTTGGGGTGTTCTTTATTTTTAATTAATCTTGTTCATGCATTGTTTGTTCTGAATGTCAAACATTTATTTTCTCCCAATTTTGACAACACTACATTTTTTGTTGGTGGAAGACAATTTATTTGGAGTCAGATTTAAGTAATTATCAACCACACCAAAAGTGATAGCCATTTCAAACATTTATATTTCATTATTCTGACAAGGATATACACCTTAATGAAAGTATTTAAGAGGGCAATTAAAATTCAGGCCAATATGAAATTGGTAGATATATATTCTTGAATGATAGTAAAACAGATTTTACAAGTATTTATGAAGAATACTTTTTTTTTCAGGATGGTCTTTATTCTTTCTGATACTGTCATAAAGGATCAATCCATTAACTCCCAAGTATTGATGAAATATGCAGACAAGAGGAATTTATGAGTTGACAGAAAGTGTACGCTTGACAAAAATATAATTTAAAGCAGTGACAAAAGAAGAAAGACAAAATAATGGATAAATGTGTGCACACCATATACAAATGCTAACAAAAATTAATCTTTAGAGACATGCTGAGTTATAGTGGCATTATTATATATCTTTTTGCAGATTACCAATAAAAATAACTGGATGATTTACATAGAGACACTTCAGCCTGGGATCAGGCCCTTCTGCTTAGGATTCTTCTTCTTTAATGTACCTTGCCTATTCAGGAGTCAGGGCGTGGGCAATTTTGGCTCTTACCATCTTCCATTTTTTTGTTATTCTAAGTAACTTTTGACTCTTTAATATTCCTTTTTGTGCTTATTTTGCCATCCATTCTCACAAAACTCATTATGTTGTTTACTGAATTTTTCCTCTGCTTCTCTTGACCTCTGAGTGTCAAATTCTCCCAGTACTCTTTCCTCATTATGCATCCTGTATCTTTTTTTGATAATTATTGGTCCGATTTTTAAAAAACATGCATTAATTCACTTGGTTATAATTATTTTAAAATTGAAAGTCTCAAGACCCTCTATATCAAAAGCAAACAACCAACACACAACAAAATTTATTACAAGTATAGCAACAACGTGTTGAAGCGCATATGACAAACATTTAAGGCCATTTTGCATTTCTACCAATTTTTGGTCATCTCCCTTGTTTTGCAAAAAAAAAATCTCACTTGTTTTGCAAAAAATTGCATAGCTATAATGAATAAATTTTAAATAATTATAACAGAGTACGTTCACATGTGTTTTTAAAAAGTCGCCATAACAATGAAATGCAGATTTTATCACAGTTACAATAAGTTTATCTTTGAAATTTACCCCTGAGGATAACCTTCGATGAGATCAAAAGTACTTTGGTAGGAAAAAGCTATAGTGCCTTCCTCGATGAATTACATCTTAACATCAAGTAACTGATTAGAGAACTAGAAATGATTATTATAAAAAATAAATAGATATAATATGTCTATATTATTCAATTAAACACGTCTGAATGAAGATATGCTGAGATATATATATAATTATTATTTATAAAAAAATCATAACATAAGTATGTTATAAAATCACTACAAAAATAGCCATTTTGTTTCAACACACTCTGTATATACCAATTATATATATATATATATATATATATATATATATACTCAAGTTTTATTAAAATGACTGTCAAGGTAATGTGATTAAAAAGTTGCCATAACAATGAAATGCAGATTTTATCACAGTTACAATAAGTTTATCTTTGTAATTTACCCCTGAGGATGATCTTAGAGGAGATTGAAAGTACTTGTGTAGGAAAAAACTACAGCATCTTCCTTGATAAATTTCATCTTAACATCAAGAAACTGATTAGAGAACTGGTAAAGATCATTATAAAATAAATAGACATATATTTATATTATTCAATGAAAAATATTTGAATATATATATATATATATATATATATATATATGTATGTATGTATGTATATATGTGTGTGTGTATGCATATGTGTGTAATAAAAATGTCCTGCCATTGATAAATGGAGTACTTCTCAGTTAGTTCACTACTGCACACATTAAACATTGAAAACAAATCAGCCACAAATATATCACGTAAAATTTATTTTTCAACAATTCTTTACATTTTCTGGTTTTAATACAACTTGACTATCACTAATATGATTTCATTAGTAGAGTGCCAGATAAGTTATTTTGCCAAAATAAAATGTTATGTTAGAATTCACTAAAGAGCAAAAGATCCTACCTTTAACATAACCTGTGAATCAGTACATGTTGGTTAATAAACGAAAAAGAAAAATTAAATGATATTCAAGAAAAATTTAAATGAAACAAAATAAAATAAGGTAAAATAAAAGTTACAGGTAATTCTATTGACTTACTTAAGTTCTACCTCATCTCTTATAAACAATGTATGGTACCGTTTCCAAACTTGGGTGATATCACCCACCAGTGTGCAGTTACAACTGTTGGGTGGGCAACAAAAATCTGAAAATGGACTGTGATATATAATTTTGAATACTAAATTTATTTAAATTGTTTCATTTTTTGTCAACATTTACAACACTAACCTAAGACTAAATTATATACATAATTTTCAATAGTCATGTTTGCTTTCATTTTTTTCTTTAATACGATAATAGCAGCAGTAGTCACTACATAAATCAGCATTAGTTTTTACCTTTTTTAGTATTTTTTTACTACATCATAAAAAGTCAATTTATGGATAAATTTTTGCGAAACAATTCTGGCATGTTTTTGAATATTTACTATACACATTGACAGCAGAAAATTTTTTGCATGGAAAAGTGGGTGATAATGCAAAAAAATTTAGGAACTGTATGATATTTGCACTTCACAATACAAGAACCACATTCATTAGAGCCTTGAGTGGGCCTCGACTTTAGCAGGATATGATAAAAATTCACAAAGAAAATAGAAATGCCTTATCAGTTTTTAAAAGTGCTCAAAATAACTAATACAGCAGTTTCCACATTGAAAGCTTCTTCCCAAGAACTGCTACATTGTGGAACAGACTCCTATGTGGATGCTTCCCAGAACACTATAATATTAACCTTTTCAAGTCTAAGGTCAATATCTCTGCCATATCCTTGTAATCTTCACTTCCTATTTCTTCCTCTTACATTCATATCACACATCTCATTCAGTAACCCTCTGTCTTGAGTGACTCTTTAACCTTCTATTAGGTAAACTTTAGTAAAAAAAAAAAATTTTTAATTACTTGAGAGAAAAGAAGTAATTAAAAATTCCTACATACACTTGAACTTACTGATATCAGAAAGCTTTGTTTAAATCTGTGTAAAACCTCTTTAAACCTTGGCTGAAAACAAAGTCTTGGAGAATTATTCATATATTTGTTTCAGATTGAAAAATAAAGGCCAAGGGAGAAGATAAATGTTGCCTGACTGTAATCATAAAAATAGAACTTTAAAATTGATCTGTTAGGCTAATTTTAAATATAAACAAGATTGAATTTATATTCCTTTTTATAAAAGTTTCACAGTTAATGTACAAATGTACATAAGGGTGTTTTGTATATAATTAATGTGTGTATTTAAGAAATATCTTGTAATTTGAGGGTATTTGGGAGAGAGACTATCTTTAAGATCTCATGTTAGCATATTTTGAAATCACTTCAATCACTTGAGATAAGAATTGTGGTGAATGCTTCAGGCAAATACAGCATTAAAAAAAGGATCTTTTTGTAGAAGTTCTAAAGTATAAGGAGTTTGGGAAATGAGCAAAAGAAAAAAAACAATTAAGATCAGGAAATGAGTGTGGAAAGAAAACAAGGGCAATAAAAAATAAGGAAAGAGTGAGAACAACAAAAAGAGAAGTGAAGAAGGTGATGGAATTATATGATATTTAAAAAAAAAGAAGCAAAAAAGTGAAAGGGAAAATTATAGACAAATAAATAAACAGGTAAAAAAGGAATAAAATAAAAAGAAGGAACAAGTAAGAAAAAAGAAGAAAACTACAAAGTTGACTAAAACAAATAGGAAAGGTTAAAAAGAAGTAAGCAAAAAAGAAGAAAAAGAAGAAAAATGAAAGAGAACAAAATGGCAGAAGAAAGAAAGAGAATAGAAAAGAAAAACTAAGAAAATGAAAGAGAAATGTAAAAAGAAAGAAAGCAAGATACAAAGATAAAAGAATTGAAAAAGTAAGAAAATGAAAGAGAAAAGAAAATGGCAAAAAGAAAGATAATAGAAAGACAAAAAAAGAAAGGAAAAAACAAAAGAAAAAAGAAAGTAAGAAAAAAAGAATGGTAAAATAAAGAAAACAGAATGGGAAATGCAAAAAATGAATGGCAAAAAGAAATAAATAAAATGAATGAAAAAAAGAAAGTAAAGAAGATAGAATACAAAAAGAAAACAATAGAAGAAAGAAAATGAAAACAGAATGGATAAAAGCAGAAAAAGAGAGAGTTTTAAAAAAAAGAGAATAGAATGGAAAAAAATAGTGAATGAAAGTTTGAGTTGGAATGGACCAAAAATGACATAAGAATAAATTCTGAAATGGTACAAAATAAAATTTAAGTAATAAAAGCAAAACTGAAAGACAAAGAGATGACAGGAAAGAAAGAAAAACGTAAAATAATGCATTCTTCACAAAACAAATGTAAATCTACAAGGAAATAAAATTAAGATATGCATGTTACATGGCCTACCTCATGGATGGTTCAGATAGCTACATATTTAGTAGCAAAGCTGGAGTTCAGTTTTCAAACTCAGGTGAAACTAGAATTTCAAATTCACAATTCTTTAAACAAACAGGCCCTCTCCAGTTAAAAAGCTGGTGCAAAACAATCTTCCTATTCACATTTCCATTTTTTTATTATTAAAAGCTGTAAGGTGAATAGTTGATGTCAAAAAATATTTAACATAGATGTTGATTATAGCTTGCCTCAGGTATTAAGCAATTACTTATTTTCTAATGGCATCAGAAGTCAGTGCTCAAGCCTATGTAAATGACAGAATTTCAAATGTTCATTTTAAAGACAGCCTTTCCATACATTTGCACAACTCAATCTTCCTAATTCTTTCTTTTCCTTCATTTGACCTTGTGTACTGCAAAACAAAGCTAATGAAGTAATGGATTACCCAAAACTGAGTTCACCAAGTGTTTTCATTTACCTAAACTCATATGTTAATATAATCTCAGTTAAATCAATAACAATTCCTACTCAATTCTGTTTTGTTCACTTGCCATAAATATTTTTCACTCCAGCTATAGATTAAATAGCAGAGAAAACTTAGTTCTCTTCCAGTGAAATGGCAACTAGTCTCTAAGAAGGAAAACAAGTGTGGTGGGCTCTGTCAGGGTGTCTTGCCTAAGATAAACTACTGCTGCGATGGCTGCAGTATATATAATGCTTTAATGAGCCCATTGGGTATGGGAAAAGGAACTAGCTTAATAAGTGACCCTGAAAGAAGTAAATAGAAATGTATTACTTTAATTACAATAATGAATGAAGAAATAAAAACAAAGAAACAAAAAGACAATGGCAGGAAAATGCATTCTTGAAAAGAATCCTCAAAGTCAAAAAAAAAAAGTTTTGATGAAATGCAGAAATTGACTTTCCTATTCATACTTTTACTTGAATGCTGACAAAAAGACATTTTCCAGATAGATTTTCATGATCAGATATCTAGCTGTTCTGGAAAAATTCTGCCTCTTCTAATATTCAGTAATATAGAACTGATTTTGTATAACCAAGGAAAACACTGAGGAGTTTGTGTTTTATATTGGAGGGCAGGGTACTGAAAGTTTTTCAGGCCAAACCATTTCCCCACAAAATCTGACTGAATGATCAAATATAGATTTTTTTTTCAAGAAGAATCTTTCAGTTAAGCTGAGAGTTTTCATTACTCATTGCTACATTATATATATATATATATATATATATATATATATATATATATATATATATATTATGCTCTGTAAATTTACATTGAGCACTATTTTGTAAAAATAAAAATATCTATAAGAACACCGGATTATATATCTTACTGTTCTTTCTTTTATTTATATATATATATATATATATATATATATATATATATATATATATATATATATGACAGGATAAAGAAGTATCCTATCACATATACAAGGTGTTCATAAAGTCTGGACATATAGGAAATCTCATTAACTGTATTTTTTTATTTTTTACCTCCACAAATTAGACATTGCTTTGTTGGAAAAAGAAAAAATTGACTTCTTCTGGAATATGCTAAAGGAGAAGGTGTACTCAATGTAAATCACATATGCAACACACTTGGTTGAATGCATAAAGAGTGAATGTGCTAAAATTGACCGCAATGTGGAGTTCTTGCGCTGAATTCACTTGAATCTTACAAAGTGCATTAATTTTTGCATCACAGTCAATGAAAATCATATTGAAGGTGTTTGTTAATATTACAATTCAATAAAATGTTGTTGAAAATTTCATTTCTTAAAAATATGCATTTTTTTGCCTATTTGTCCAGACTTTAGGGGCACCTTGTATATTTCCTATCATTCTCTTGAATTCCAATCTTGTATTTGATACTTATATATATATATATATATATATATATATATATATATATATATAATAGTAATTAATATACATTTTTTCTCACCTGTACCACAACTTGGAATTTCACGCACAATGCAGTTGTCAGGTGCTGACTGAAAACTGGCCTGTATATTTATTATTAATATAAATTATAGGTCTGTTATTATACATCAAGTATTGTTTTATTAACACCAACACTCAGTGTGTGATATATATATGTGTGTGTGTGTGTGTGTCTGTAAAGATGATGAAACAAAATGAAAATTTTTATTAAGGATGCATTTTGCTAGAGAAGCTTATGCTCTCTTTGGCTTCTTCAGTTTAAAATGAAGGAATGACAAAATGGTATATGGGAAAAATGCCTTGGGATCTGAAAATAACTGGGTATCTTGACCTATCCTACTTCTGCTTACTGATTCTAGTACAAGCCAGGACCATACCTGCATTTTTGATTCTAATATAAGCTAGACAGATGTCTACCTTTTTGATTCTATTACAAGCCAGACCAGTTTCTACCTTTTTGATTCTTGTACAAGCCAGACAGAAGTCTACCTTTTGATCCTAGTACAAACCAGACCAATGTTTACCTTTTTTATTCTAGTACAAGCCAGATTTGGTTTGGTTTGGTTTGTTTTATGACATATCAACCTCAATGGGTCATTTAATGCCAACAACTTTTTTTTTTGGTAATATTTTTTTGTCAAAAATCTATTTCTGTTAATATTTTTTTTCCTCAAAAATGTATAGCTGGTAATATTAGTTTTTAAAAAAATGTATAGCTAGTAATATTATTTTTCAAAAATCTATAGCTGGTAATATTTTTTCAAAAATGTATAGCTGGTAATATTTTTTCAAAGACATATTGCTGGTAATAGTTTTTTTCAAAAACGTATTGCTGGTAATATTTTTTCTCTTCAAAAATTTATTTCTGATAATAAAGTATTTCTGGTATTAAAACCTATTTTTACACTTTTATAATGCTTTTTACCACAGTTTTGGGGTCAACTATTTGCCCATAGCTGGGACCCTAACAGGTGCTATCACCCTAGGTCAGGGTGAACCTGGGGACACCAGCAATTAAAAGAAGGTTCCATGCTCCTCAAAGCCTTCTGATCAGAGGCCTTGCTGTTGGACGTAGTTTATTGTCTTACCCTGGATGTGGATGTAGTTTATCGTCATACCCAGGATGGAAAGCCAGATTTATATCTATTTTTTGACACTAGTTTAACTGAATCTATATCTAAATTTTTGACTATGTTGTAAACTGGACCACTTATACCTTTTTTGTCTCTTCTATAAACCAGACCTATGTTTACTTATGTATTAATTCATTTCGATTTTCGTCTCATAAAACTTATATTCAACATTAAATAACCCAACAGGGATTGATATATCATTAAATTAAACTAACCAACCAAAATTTCTTTAGCCTCACTTTCTTCTTTGAGTTATTTTCATGTTTTTTTCTCTTCCCTAATATCGTTATCCTCTCGTTTCCCTTTCTCATCTTCTTTCTTCTCCCATTTACATCAAACTTCCTTCTAAATTTGTTTTTTTCTTTAATTCTTTCATTGCCTCTTATTCCTCAACACTTCTCCTCTTCTTCACATATATTCTGTATCAAAACACTTCAGCCCATTACACAATCACACTGATAATTGAATTAATCAATCAAGATAAAAGCTTTAAAAAAATCCATTGAAGAGGTTGGGTGGTACAGAAGAGAGAATCTTTGTCAATAATCTATTTTTTTTTTGTCTTCACTATATCCATCCAACCCTTAATCCTTCAAATACTTTTTCTCCTACACCCACATCATTCTTTATTTTCATCTTTATAGCCACCATGTCTCATCTCTAGTATGATCCTTCCCTAATAATTTCTTTTTTTATACTTATTTTACCTGTTATGCAATATGTTCAAATTGTTAGATACAATCATTTCAGTTCCTTTGCCTCTTCTTTCTCATCATTCTCATCTTCTCTTCCTCCTTCTTTTTTCAATTTCTCTTCCTTCTCTTTTTCAATTTCTTTTTTATTCACTTTTTCAATTTCACTTCCTTCTCTTTTTCAATTTCACTTCCTTCTTCTCTTTTCCAATTTCTCTTTTTTCTTCTCTTTTCCAACTTCTCTTTTTTCTTCTCTTTTTCAACTTCTCTTTTTTCTTCTCTTTTTCAACTTCTCTTCCTTCTTCTCTTTTTCAACTTCTCTTTTTTCTTCTCTTTTTCAATTTCTCTTCCTTCTATTTCCAATTTTATCAACTTTGCTTTCTTATTCTATTTTCTAACTGCTTTCCTTTTTTTTTATCTATTTTCCAACTTTCTTACTTTCTCCTTTTTCTCTTTTCAACTTCTCTAGCTTTAGCTGTTTTCACTATTTTCCAGATACTTTTTCTTCTTTTTTAACTTCTTTCTCCTATTTTCCATTTTAATAACTTTGCTTTCCCAACATCTCTTTCTACTAAGTCTCCCCTTTTACAACTTCTTTAACTTTTCCTTTTTCCTGATTTTTCCTCCTATTTTTCTGCTTCACCAAATTCTCTTCTTTCTCCTCTTTTTTATTTTCAACTTCTCCACTTTCCCACTTTCTTTTTCTCTTTTTTCCAACTTGTTTCTAGTCTCTTTTGACGCTTTTCCAAATTCTCTTCTTTCTCTTTTTTCATTTTCAACTTCTCTTCCTCTTACTTTTCCAACTTCTCTATTTTCCTGGCTTTTTTTCCTCTTTCCCCAAACTAATCTTTCTCTTCCCCAATTTCTTTCCTTTCTCTTTTCTAACTTGTCTATATTTTCTTTTGCCTCTTTTCCAAATTTTCTTTCTCCTCTTTTTCCTTTTCAACTTCTCTTCCTCTTACTTTTCCCCTTTTCCAACTTCCCTACCTTCTTGGCTTTTCTCTCTTTTCCCAAACTCTTTTTCTTCTCCACTTTCTTTCCTTTCTCTTTTCCAACTTGTTGACATTTTCTTTTGCCTCTTTTCCAAATTCTCCTCTTCTTTTTTCTAATTTCTCTTCCTTCTATATCCACACTTTTTTCCACTTCTTTCTCACTTTTCTTCATTTTCTCTTTCTCTTTATCCAACCATAATCTTTTTGTCACTTCTTTCATTTTCTATTTCACATTCAATTTCATGTTCTTTCTTTAAGTCTATATAAAACATAATTGTTTATATTTTCATCTGATCTTACTCTATAGATTTATTCATTTTATCAGTCTTTTCTTGCAAACAAGGATAGGGGTTTTATTTTCACTTTTGCCTCATAATCTTTTGGTTTCTCCACTACTTTTTTTTTTACAGTAAAGTTCACCCTGTACAATGCCTGGGGGTGGGTGACACTCAAATAAAGGGTTACATTAGGGGGGTAGTTTATATGGATAGGTGGGGAAGATAACCTGTTCAAGTATAGAGTCAACTGTTAAGATTGTAGTGATCAGGGAAACATCCACTTGGGAGTTTGTTCCATAGGGCAGTGGTTCAGTGGAAGAAGCTGTTTGAGTGGAACTTACTTCTTGCCAATAGAAGACGGAGGGAATGAGAGTGGTTTGTTACTATGTAAGTGGCATGGCAGGTCCTAGCTGTGAAGGTCAGGCCTGATAGAACCAGGAGATGCAGTTCGTCCAAACACTTTCCATGGTAGTATGCATAGAGCAGTGAGAGACACGCCACATCCCACCTGTGAGAGAGAGGTTGGAGTGTAGAAAATAATTCTTTTCCAACAATAACTATCAAAGCTAAAAAATGAGTAATTTTCCATTATTTCTTTGTGTTGTTAACTAGTTTTATTCCATTCCGTTTTCTCATTCTGTCACTCAAACAACAAAATTCTACTTGAATATGATTTTAAATTATTATTGTTTTTCTTTGTTCCTTTGATTTTGTTTGTTTGTTTTTAATTCTTCTTCATTAGTCTGATACTCTTTCATTACATTTATTATTTTACTTCATCTTCATTTCATTCTCTTTTTTCATCTTCCTCCATTTCATTCATTTTCATTCATTTCCCTTCATTTCATTCTCTTTTTTCATCTTCCATCATTTATTGATATTTCCCACATTTTCCTTCATTTCATTTTCTTTTCTTCATTTTCCTTCTTTCATTATCTTTAACTCATTCTATTCTTTTTTAATTTTCCTTCATTTCATTCCCTTTCTTTCATCTTCCTTTAATTCATTATCTTTCCCTCATTTTTCTTCATTTCATTCTCTTTTCTTCAACATCTTTCATTTCATTATCTTTCCCTCATTTTCCTTCATTCCATTCTCTTTACTTCATTTTCCTTCATTTCATGATATTTCCCACATTTTCCATAATTTCATTCTCTTTTTTTCATTTTCCTTCATTTTATTCACTTTCCTTCATTTCATTCCCTTTTTCTATTATTTTTTTCTTCCTCTTTTTCTCATCATTCATCATTAGCTTTTTCTCTATTCTGGATTTTCATTTATTTTTCTATTTCCATGATTTTTTATAATTTCATTCTTTCTCTTTTTTTTCTTTATCTCATTCTACTTGCCTCATCTACCATAATTTTATTCTTTCATTTTATCCATATGTTATCAATCTATTCATTATTTTCACTTTCCATCACATCATTCTATTTTTCACATCTTTCTTCATTTCATTTTCATTTTTTCTTCATTTCCTTCACTTTTCTGCCTTTCCTTTTAATTTCATCCTTATTACTTATTCACCATCAATTTTATTTTTATTTTTTCATCTTACATAATTTCATTATTTCCTTTTTCTCTTTTATATCATCTAATTTATTTTTTTTATATTACCATGTTTCATTCTTTTTCTTCTTTCATTTCTTAAGCTTTTTCCTTCTATTGTCCTTGTTTTTATGCTTCATATTTTCTATTTTGCTGTTTTATTTCTGATTTTAAGCTGTTTCTTTTCCTTTTTTCTTATTTTCTATTTAATATTCCTTCTTTCTATTATTTCTTGCTTATCATTTTTATTTCTCTTTCTTTGTCACATTTTTTTCCTTTTTCTTTGCTTTTCTGTTTCTTTTTATTTTTCTCTATTTCTTTGATTTTTCATTCAAACATCATTCATTCAAATCCAGTTTTCCTTCTCCTTTTCCTTCACTAAACAAAACTTTCAATCTCCCACTATTTCTGCATTTTTCCCTTTTTTTTTTCATAGAGTACCAAACTTACATCAGTTTATATTTTTATTGTAAATTTTTGCTCCATATTGTACCTTACTTTAACTTCATCGAGTTGAGATAGTTTTAAAAACTCTTAATGGAACTGGAAGACACTATGAGAACAAAAGAAACAAATACAAATTATATCTCATTGTAAAAAAAAAAAAAAAAAAGTGTTGGCGTGGGGTCCTATTCAAAAAAATAAAAGTTGGGATGGAAATGGAGGGAGTTGGTTTGAACTGGCAAAAGGTCCTGATTTCTTTTCCCTTTTTACTCAACCCACAAGCCACAAGCCACACACCCAATCCAAGTGATGCCATCATGTTTTTTTTTCTTGTTTTTGTCTTGTTTTTTAACATTTATTTTTCTATCACTTTCTTTTTTTGTGCTCATCAATCCTGAAGGACACTTTCAGCATCCTGTAAAACTTCACTTGACCAGAAAATGTCACTTGGACTTAGGGGCTAACTCACCCTACCTTCTAACCTATCACCCTTCAGGACAAAAGAGAACATCTCTCTCCACACACATGCACCAAAAAATTAGAAGCAAAAAAAAAATATCAACTCAAACATAAAGATACCCATAAAACGGAACAGGATGTGGGTAGTGTGGGATGATCTACCAGACAAATAATGAGTTTGGGAGTTAACTACATTAATGTCTTCCTTAAAGTGTACACCTTTTTGTCCAGTAATGCTTTATGGTTTGTCTTTAAGGCAATACTCAACCAATGGAGAAGTGAATGGAAAACTGCTTTCTGATTGGTTGATGTTATTTGACACTTTTCAGAAATAAACTTGGAAGAGGTGCACATGTGCAAAACTAGAGAATATGAAGATACAAAAAAAAACAAAAAAGATTAAATAAAATTTAAAAATTAACAAAAAGTATATATAAAACAAGAAAAGAAAATTTTCTTTTACACAGAAAACTCAAAGAAAGGAAAAAAATGGCAATAATGGATTTTCATATCTTTCTTAATGCAAAGAAACAAGGGGGGAGCAACAAAAGATTCATTCAATAATTGAAGAAAAAACTGACAAAAATGCTGGTAAAACAAAGGATATAATGAAATAACAAATAGATAAAAACAAAGTACACTAACATTTGGCTATTAAAAACAGTCTTTTTTTTTTTCAAACAACACAAGATTTTCCCTTTTATACAAAGAACAAATAAACATGAGATATGATCTTTTTCTTTCACTTTTCTAACATGCTAGAATTTAGCTTTCAATGCATCAAGAACATGAGTCTTTTTTTTTTTTTGCTATCATCTCTGTAACAAATACAAAAATTCGGATTTCTTATAAAGGGTAGAAAATAGTAACAGTCAGCAAGTTTTAAAGGAAATTTTTCTTTGTTCATTGATTTTACAGTTCTTGTCTTATCACTGACAAAATACAGCTTTTATAAAACAATGATATGATAATCATTGACTAAAAGGCTAAAAACACAAAAAAGGAAAAAAAAATCCAAAATGAAAGATAAAACCTTAGAATTTTTCCATTATCTGATGCTGGCTAAATGTTCAGAGATCAATACTCTGCAACAATTGAATAGTAAGAAGGTAAAAACCAACAGCTGAGGAAAAGCATTTTTGTCATTAACATCATGAAGTATATATTAATACTTGTAATAATATTAATATAATATTGATATTATTAATATTCAAAAAATCCTTTCTGACTTGCTGACAGTTTTATAAATTTTAGATAAAACTTACTTTATTTTTAGATTTACCTATGCAATAAAGAACTCAAGCATCAGAAGTGATATGCTACGGAACTATCTGAGACATCTCCTGTGTAGACCACATCACAAGAAACCATCAAACAAGAAACAGACCCATTGGTAAACTTCTTAACTATCATCAAGAAAAGAAAGTTGAAATGGTATGGGCATGTTTTATGAGGCCAAATTATTTTCATTGCCATCCTTCAAGGAAGTACCTTATGCAAAAGATGCAAACTGAGAAAAAAAATAGGCTGATAATATCAGAGTGAATCAGATGGGAAGCAACTCTACAACCATAACTGTTCATGAGACTAATGATGATGTTAACAAAATTAATAGAAAGCTCTCTCTTTAACTGGATGGACCAAGTAAATACACACGTCTTTTTGAAACAATGGACTATATTAGCCTAGGTCAAGAAGATTTCTGGTAAACACAAAAGTAGTCAATGTTTGGTTTTGGTTTCATCTATCATTTATCATTAACTAGTTTAAAAGCTGCTCTCTGTGCAGAGTTTTAAGCTAGCTCTTGTGAAGGGCTAATTGGGCTTGTGGCCCAAAACTAAAGGGATCTCTGGTGCTGTATAGAAAACAATAATGATAATTTTGAAGAAATAACTTTGAATTCTTCAAAACCTCAATTTAACTCCCATTCAGGCTATAAGTCCAATTCTGACCAAAAGACCAATTTGAGTCAAAAGTCCAATTTGGGCCACAGTTCCAATTTGGGCTGAAATTTCAGTTCAGAATGAAAACTGAGTTCTTCAAATCACAAATTCTGGAATTTCAATTGAGTTGAGGTCACAGACTCTGCAGAACTTCAAAACCTCACATAAAACATCTCACTTTAACTGTGATTCACTGCGATTTTGAAGGAAAAAAAGTGATTTCCTCAATTCACAAAGTTTGGAAGATATTTTAAACTGAATTTAAAACAAAAACTTTTTGTGTTACTTTAAACTAAATATAAATTAAAAAACTTTTAAAATCACTAATTTTTTTCAATTATTTTAAAATTTGAATTTTTAACTATTCCCTCCTCATCTCAACAAAAATTCCAATTCTATATGTTCAAGCACCAGATGAAAGGCACATTTTTCAACCATAAAGGTATAATATGTCTATGTGTGGCTGAAGTTTCAGACACATGGATGGACAGACAGAATTTGCTGTTTATTTATTTATATAGAAAATTATTATTATTCATTAATTTGAAACTCTTAAGAGATTATTTACTTTATTTACATTTGAACAGTTGTCCTCATCTTTTTTATTATCACAAAATTTCAGCCATTGTAACCTCTGGCCCTTTTCAGGTGCTTGTCAATTCAGGTAATCTTCAGGGAATTTCAAATTGAACCCTTTATTTAATCTACAGGAGTAAATTGTTATCATTCTGTTGTCCATGTTGAATTACAGTTATATTCGTTGCATTCACTTATATGCAAATATCCTGCGAAAAGTATGAATCCATCCCATCCTCCTGGCTATAGGTTAAATTGAAGGACTTGTATCTGGAGAAATCATTATCCTCAAAAAATTATTAATGCAATATTCCCTTGTTAAAAAAATGAAAAAAGAATTCTTCTTAGAATCCAAAATAAGTTTAAGATTTAAATATCCCATAAAGAGTTGATAAACCATAAAAAACAAATCACTCATCCAATCAGTCAAGATTCTTCCTGTCTTGGGATATCTTGTTCTTACTGGTTATTTCAGACCCTGATTCCACTGAGTCTAAGACTGCACACCCTAGCCCAGGTATCACAATTACTATACCATCAAATTCTTACCTTGCTTTCTTTTCCTTCATTCATTAATCACTATTTTTATTTTGCCTTTCCTTCCTTTGTTCATTATTCACTATTCTTTTCCTTTCTTTCATTCATTATTCACTATTCTTACTTTGCCTTGCATTCCTTCTTTCATGATTCACTATTCTTTGTTTTTTTTCCTTCCTTCATTATTCACTATTTTTATTTTGTATTTCCTTCTTTCCTTCATTCATTATTCACTATTTTTATTTTGCTTTTCCTTCATTCATTATTCACTATTTTTATTTTGTTTTCTCTTCTTTCCTTCCTTCATTATTACCTTATTCTTATTTTGCTTTTCCTTTTTTCCTTCATTCATTATTCACTATTCTTATTTTGCTTTTCTTCCATTCATTATTTACTGTTCTTACTTTGCATTTCTTTCTTTCATTCCTTATTCACTAAACTTACTTTGCCTTTCTTTCATTCATTATTCATTATTTTTAATTTCCCTTTCTTTCATTCATTATTCTTACTTTCCCTTGTTTTCCTTCATTCATTCATTATTCACTATTCTTACTTTGCTTGTCTTTCATTCCTTATTCACTATCCTTACTTTGCTTTTCTTTCTTTCCTTCATTCATTATTCACTATTCTTACTTTGCTATTCATTCATTATTCATTATTCTTACTTCTCTTTCTTTCTTTCATTTATCATTCACTATTCTTACTTTGTTTTTCCTTCCTTTATTCATTATTTAATATTTTTGCTTTGCTTTTCTTCTATAATTTACTCTTTACTGTTTTTAAATGATTTTTCCTCCACTAATTTTCCTTGATTTTCTTCTTTGATTTTTTTGCTTGAATTTCTTTTCTTTCCTCCTTTTTCAATTTCCTATTCCTTTTTTTCATTTCAGTTCTACTGTCCAATATATCTAATCTTTATTTATTTGCTGAAGGAGTGAAATGAATCATTATTAGAATATTTTCTACATCTTTTCTGTTCTTTGATAACTGTTTTTTCTCTTCTTTTTCATTTCTTTTTTTTTAAATATTTCTTCATCTTTTGTTTTTCCTTCTGGATTGTATTTCATTCTTTTCTTTTTCTTTCTCAATCTTCCCTCCGACAATTTTGTCTTTTTGTCATTTTAATTTCTTATTCTACCTTCAAATTTCTCTAGTGTTTTTCCTTCTATATTCTTTTCCTTATTTTCCGCCTTCTCAGCTCTATTTTATTATTTTTCTTTGCATTCTTCCTTAAAATTTTTTCCATTGCCTTTTGGTTTCTTATTCTATTTTAACATTTTTCTTACATCTTTCTTTTCATTTTACATGATTCATTTTCTTTCTTTCATCTCTTTCTTTAATCTGCTTTTTTTTATTCCTCTTTCTTTTGTCATTCATTTTCTCCTTTTGTCCTTCTTGTTTTTCCCAATTCTTGTACTTTTTCTCAGTCACTTTCAGCCTTCTGCTCTTCTCCACACTTTTCTTTCTTCCTAGCAACTTTTCTACCATTCAAAATAAATCATTTTTGCAGACATTTGATAGGATCTATTGCTTCCACAAGTACATATCTTTGACCCAAATAATAGATAATCTTGATAAATTATGTTCTATTTTACAAGAATTAGGTTATCCCTGTTTTGAAAAATGTCCTGCAACTAGAACTAATACTAAGCCCATTACGATTTCTTCCTCATTGTTGACTTGTGCAATCAAGTTTGATTGGTGATTCATAAATTGGCATATTTGACTGTTAGTCTTATCATTATGTCTGTGATTGATTGTTTAATTTCTTTTGACAGTATCTTATTTGTTAATCAGAAATAATCAGGTATCCAACTGAAGAAAATGGGTTAGAATCAAAACAAATTGATTTCTTTGGATACTGATAATCTGGGATTTGACTGTCAAAGGATAGTGTGCAGGTTAGTCTTACAAACTGTTTCTAGCAAGTTCAATCCTCTCTGAGAGTCCTGTTTCTGCAACACAATAATTATTGCTAGATAGTTCAATCCTCACTGAGTGTCACAATATTTACTGCAAGATCAATTCTGAGTGTCCCATTTTTATGACCCAATATTTATTATTAGCATGTTTGATCCTGAATGTCCCATTTTTGTGATCCAGTATTTATTGTTAAGAAGATCAAGCCTCAAAGAGTGTCCCATTTTGGTGACCCAATATTTATTACTAGCATGTTTGATCCTGAGTGTCCCATTTTTGTGATCCAGTATTTATTGTTAAGAAGATCAAGCCTCAAAGAGTGTCCCATTTTGGTGACCCAATATTTATTATTAGCATGTTTGATCCTGAGTGTCCCATTTTTGTGATCCAGTATTTATTGTTAAGAAGATCAAGCCTCAAAGAGTGTCCCATTTTGGTGACCCAATATTTATTGCTAGCTGATTTGATCCTCACAGTGTGTCCCATTTCTGCAATTCACTATTTATTACAAGTTCAATCCTGGGTGTCTCATTTTTGTGACCCAATATTTATTGCTAGCAAGATCAATCTGCACTGAATGTCTCATTTTTGTGACCCAAAATTTATTGTGAGCAAATTCTATTGTGAGTGTCCAATTTTGTGAATTAATATTTATTGCAAGCAAGTTTGATCCCAAGTGTTGCATATTTTCTGACCCAGTATTTACTGTAAGCAAGTTCGATCCTCATTGAGTGTCCCAGTTTTGTGACTTAATATTTATTCATATTGATGATTATTTTCTAGATCTCTAGAATTTTTAACTTCCTTTGCCTGACAGTGTTTCTAAGACATAATCTCAGCAGCTGTTAAAAAATATATTACTCTGCAACATTCATACAAAAACAACTGGTGAATAAGCTTTGCTTCTATGCACGCAAACAAGTTTACTCACAGATGACAGCAAAAGTAATTCTGTTTTTCGTATTTATCTATTAAGAAAGTTTTGCAATTATTTTGATCTTTTGCTGAAAAGTAAACTGCAAAGCCAGGCTTTGGTAATTGTGTGTATGTATTTACTTTTCTTGCTCATTGTAATAATGATTACACATTTCCCAAACACAAAAGTTATACATCAACTTACATTAAAAAAATGTATTCTATTGTCTGAATAATATATGAGAAAAACAAAGGTGTTTTAATTTTGCCTGAAGAATTTTCTATAAGTAATGCATGCATAACCTGTTATAAATTCTCTTACCATCAATATCATCATTAGCCATTACGAGTCCACTGTCAAATAAAGATCTTATCCATGACAACCATAACAGTGCCAATCTCTTATATTTTAACAGCAAACTCCTCATCTTCTGTCTGAGTTTCTCTTATGCTTTTTAAACAACAAAGAGTAATACAGATGCATATACATTTTCTATATAACAAGTAGTATTTCAAATGTGTATACATTTTCTATATAACAGGACATATTTCAGATGTGAATATATTTGCTACCTAACAAAGAGTACAGACATCTGCTATATAACAGAGTATTGTAGATGCGTATACATTTGCTATATCACAATGAGTATTACAGATGTTATACATTGCTGTATAACAAAGTGTATAGTGGATGCATATACATCTATGTAACAAGGAGTATTTCAGATGTGTATGCATTTGCTACATAAAAAGGAGTAAAGCAGATGCATATACATTTGTTATATAACAAGTTTTTTTAAGTGAATCTTGTATTAAAAATTGTTTGGTGATAATAATGATTTTTAGATACAAGTCCTAATAATTGATCCATAGCTGAAGGAGAAGAGATAGAGTAATACTTTCCCAAGGATTTTACACATAAGTGAATATAACAGACTCAACTTGAATTTGAACTTGGCTTTCAAATTTCTCCTTCTAAACTGTTATACATTACACCAGCCACACATCCAAGCTTACAGCAGTTGGTATTTCCAAGTGATCACCCATCTCTGTAGCGATTGGGCTTGATGTTGCTTAATTTTTCTGATCAGATGAGAATTGTTGTTTCAATGTGATATAGCCATAAACGTTTTTAAGGTAGGTCTTACGGTAATTTACCCCAACATGCATGGAAGCTCCCAGCTATATTAGGAGCAGGTACTGCCTTTTGGAAAGGGAAGTTTCCAGCAGTTAGCTCTGACAGTCGGACTGAACATTCTTGCTGTAACATTCTCGTTTGTGTATGTTCGTATTACTGTTCCTGTTAATAAATTTGTTTAACTCAATTCATCTCTTTGTGTCTTTATTTCTGGTCCTAACAAGGCCACAACAGTAGGAAAGAAGGAAATTGAACATAGAATAGAATGTGCACAGGATAGTTTCACACAACACAGCAAGTTGCTACAAAACCAAAACTTTAACCTAAAATCTCAAATTATGTTTTTAAATGAACTTGTTAGATCAAGACTTTTATATGGATGTTGTGAATGGCACTTAACTTATTCACGAGTGTCTAAACTGTCCATTTATATAACTGCTTTCTCAAATCAATAATTAAACATGCCTTTAAGCAAATGAAACCTGTAGGTCTTAGTGAGGACCACCCTTTTTAGGATCTCATGAACTGGTGGTACAGAATCACAAAGATCTCTATCAAATAACAGAAACCCCATCACTAGTGGACTTTCAATAACGGAAACATCTAAAACGGATATCATAATATTACTAGAAAGAGCAATAACAGTTTGTGAATTTTAGAAACTTATTTTCCTGAAAAAATTGTTTTAATAGAAGAATTTTATAGATTTCAACAGATGACAGTACTTGCTGCTCAGTCAAAGAATGGTGATTGTTTCTTTGTAAGGAAATGGATAATAATATAACATATATCAACTGAAATACTCAAAGAACAATGTCATCTGCAAAAATACAGTTCAAATTGTAGTCAGAAATCTTTGAACAATATTTTTTTAATTTTATATATTGTTTTCCCTGATCAGGTTCAAAGTGAAATTATTACAATATAGTTTTTTGTATTTTTTCAAATAATTGTCAGGATGAGTGACATTGGGAAGATCAAAATCAAGCAGAAAGAGAAAATTAAAATGGAGTAACTTAAGATCTGAAGTGTAACACAAAAATCTGAAAATTGATAGGAATAATGCAAAAATCAAAGAAAAGAGTACTGAACAGTAATTATAAGGCACTAAATGCTGGACGGTCTCCTCACAGATGAAAAAGAGATTTGAAGCAACAGAAAAGTGGTTCTACAGATGAATGCTGTGGAATACCATTGACCAAATATATGAGCAACAATAAAGTATTAGAGAAAATGGAAACAAAAACTTATACTTAACATCAGGAAGAGACAGTTGAAATTTTTAGGAGACATAATGATGAAAGGCAGCTTGGAATATCTGATACTCACAGGACAGAAAGAAGGCAAATGGGACAGAGGAAAACAATATATAACCTACTTAGTGAACATGAGAGAATGGATGGCAGAACAAGGTTTAGGAGAGATAATGAAAAAGACAAAACTTATTAAAAGCTACAAAGGACATGAAATTGTGGAGAACCATGGTCACCTACATCCTGACGGGACATGGCACATAGAAGGAGAAGAATATTAGAATTTGCCTAATACAAGTCTTGAAAGCCACTCAACATAGAGGGTTATTGTTAAAATGGTAATGATCTATGAGGTGTATCATATAAATAAAAGAGGAGATGGTAAGAAGTGAAAATTATAAAGATTATGGGAATAATGTTTGACCCTTGATTTGAAACGGTTAAGATTATAGTATTCTATAAAGTGGCAGTTCTTGGAGAAAAGTTGAACTACTTACATTTGGAATATGGAGGAAACAAAGGTAATTTTATTTAAGAAGATAAGTAAAGTATTAAGAGACAGGAAAATATCTTTAAAGACAGCAAAGAAGACAGCTGAATTGCTATATAATAACAATCCTCCTCTATGGCAGTGAATACTGGACAATCTTCTCACAGATTAAGATGGTGTCCCAACTATATGAATTTATGTGTGCTACTAGATTGGCATTTAGGTCCCACCTGTTTACTGTTGAAATAGCTAATTGCAACCACCACTTCTACTCCAACAGTTTCTTTTCTTGCACTTCTCACCTGTGGAACTCCCTTCTGTTTACCTGCTTCCCTGATAATTACAATCTTCAAAAATTTAAATGCAACATCAATCACTATCTTCTATCTTCTTGAATCCTGCTCATCTATTGTCCTTTCTTCAATCCACCCTATATTCAGTTTTTTCTCTCATTTTCACTCCCTGTAACAGCATGCATACTAGTGACACTGCCACCTTGCTTGGGGTTAAATTAAAAAAATATTCAAGTGAAAATGATGTGTTTCTACTGAGAAATGCTGAGAATTCCATAGATAGAATGGTTGAGTAATAATGAAATTTGAAAGAGAATGGGACCTATTAGGAAACTGTTACTGATAATCAGAAAAAGACAACTGAAATTTCCGGGAAACATAATGAGGAAAGAAAGTTTGGAAAATTAAACACTCAAACCAAGAGCATCAGTGGAAAAGGTAATTAACCTGCTCAATGAGTTTAA